ATTACGTTTACATTTCAGTAACGAGTAACGATTCAGCCCGGGAAAAATCGACCGGAGTAAAAGTATTGAAATAATCAAAAATATTCTTGCACAGTGGGTACAGACAGCCATCACGCTGGGGAGAAAACTTTTAGTGAGACACTTGGACAACTGGCAGCATTTGAAAGATTATCAAACAGACTGTTAAATAGAGTAGTTGATTATAATGACAAATGGCCACCTACTTTTCCTATACGGGTCAATGAGGTTTCCAGCTCAGATCAACCTTAATCTGTAATGTCTGCTGTAACCGGGGATAAGTGTGTTGTTGGCATCTTTCTTGTTTTTCTTTCATGGTTTGTTTTGTTTTATATTGTCTGCTTTCAGTGTTTATATACCAATTGGTATAATGTGCAACATGGTACATTTTGTATGTTTTATTTAGTTAAAACCTAAATAAAGTTCAAGTCATAAAAAAAAGAAATAATCAAAAATATGTCGTGGAGTAAAAGTAAAAGTAGGGAAAAAATCTATACTCCAATGAAGTACAGATACTGCATTTTGGTACTTAAGTACAGTACTTAACTCATTGACTGGCAGCCATTTTCAGAACAGAGTCCCATACTGCCAGAGTTTTTTTAGCATTTTGACTGATTTTTCTAGAGCCACAGAATAGTTTGTGCTATGACTATGTAAACACCGAACACACCAAAAGAAAGAGTAGACTCTCTTCTTTCATCAGGAAAAAAAATGTGTTTCTACCTTATTCCGTTCTTCCTGGACTTGCGTCTCACCGGCGACATGTTCTCTCATAGAACCGTTCCCTTTTTCTTATTTGCCTACAGTCTATGCTCATCTCCCATCAAAAGTGGCACTGCCCCCTAGAGGGTCAATTTGTTACTACATACTCTGTCTAGAAGCCCATATTTACGGACAAGCTTTAGCAGATCGTCCCCCAGACACTCTGGTTAAAAACATAAAAGACCTCTATAGACGTCTTTGGCAGCCAATGAGTTAAAAGGCCCCTAACTCAAGGGCTGAGCCAGGAATGAGACAATGCTACAGACATAAATTACTTCAAACTCTTCCAAACATGAATAAAGAACCAAAAAAAGGCTAGTTGTAGTAGTTTTTCTACTACCGATTTAGGCAGAACCGAATATATTTAAT